GTTTCAACAGTGGTGAAAGCTGTAATTTTAGTATTAAGGCATTCAATATTAAGTTGACGGTAATAAAAATATCTTTTCAACTTTAAAGTCAAGAAAAAAGACAGATGTGTTCTTAGGCTTCATCATACCTTGTGCTGCAATAACTTCCCCATGCTGACACGTCCTTAACAGTATCACAGACACCATCATTATATATAAAATGAAGATCTTTAATATGACTAATTTTAGGCAGACAGCAGAAAGGCTTGTTAGAAATTCTCTAATTATCTGGAAGCCTCACAACTGCTTTCTGCCAGCATGTCCCCCTCCTTAGTCTTTAAGACGACACATTGAACTGTAATGCCATGTCAAGGTCAAACGACTCTGCCTCTTAATCATTCATTCTCCCTCAACGAGGTCTCCTTGGTATTCCATTTCCAGGGGCCATTAATTTAATATGAAAATCATCGTTGGCAAGACTAAAAATACATCTAATAACTCAGAGCAATAGCTGACTGCTTTCAGGATCTCTGCAAATCTTTTTGGTAACACTCTGACTGAGAACATCAAAGAAATGAACAAGCATCCTTCAAAATCTGGCTTGACCACAAAATGAATTAATGTCTAGTGCAACTTTAGTACCTTAACTAATAATGACACTGTGACCACCACGGGACAGCAATTTCAGCCTGTTGGATGTGCAAATCTTGCTCACAATTAAGAACTTAAACAGGAAAGGACTAAAAGAGGAAAAATAAGAATTCCAGTGCATCACAACTCAAAGTTCAACCAAATCTATTTGCTTTCCTCCCTCAGTTGCAAAAAGCCCATCAGATGAAGTGGCCTCCTGCTTTCCCACCTCTTCCAGTTACAGGACTAATCACTTCATGACTTTAAATACTAGCATAAGCATTTAAATGACTTTGGAGACACAATCTCAGTCTTGATGGGTCACTACCAGTGGTCATAAACACTTCTTTGGAAGCTGCCATAATCTGAACTAAATTTAAGTAACCTCTGGAACTTAAGACTTATTTTTTTAAGCAGCACAACTGGCTAAAGGGTCAATAAGCAATACTAGAAAATGTGAATATTTGAGAAGATACTCTGTTAAACCCTCAGCATACATTAATTTAATAGTATGATCAACTCAGCAACTTCAGATGCAAGCAGCAAACACAATCTTCTGTCCCTGGCACAAGCAGGGTATGTTGCCACCCTTGGCAAGATCTCAAGGCAGAGTATCTATTAATTTCTGTGTTGATGGAAATTATTGTGGTGAGTTTTTATACCATCACATTTTTCTGCCTTCTTCAAAGCCAGGAGCTGACCTTTCTAAGCCACTTGCCCATGTTATTTAGTTGACTTTGCTGGAGTCTCACTGCTTCAGTACATGGTACTATTGCATCAGTCACAGGGACTAGAGGATTTCTGAAACCAAGTGAAAGGGTCACAGTATTGCCAAGTTATTAAGAAGATTAGATCTCATCACAAAAGTATAATGACCCACTTTGTCAGATTCCGTTTACTGATTGCTTATTGTTTCCTGCTTATGCCTGAAGAGGCATATAAAAAGATTTCAATGAAGTTGTTAAATATTTAGGTTAAAAACTGACTGATCTGGAAGAAAGTTGAAATGCTGTAATTCAAGCAAGTCCTAATTTTAGTGTCAAGTGAAAACCTTAATAAAGAAACCATATACTGCCTGGAACCATAAAATACAACAGTCAGGAGAGAAAGATCATATATCAAGGTGGGGTTTCTGTTAACTTTTTTAACTGTCAATTTTTTGAGGTGAGTGAAGAACTACAGGCTTTGTGAACCTACTCAAACTATCCAACAACAAAGCACTTATCTGGGCTGCAGCAGCTCTACACGTGATGTCATTTGTTTACAGAAGGCAAATACTTGCCAATTTTAAATAAAACAGGATTCAGCCTGCTGAAAACAGAGAGATGTCTACACAAGTGGCTATTCCTGTGTCTAAACACTAATTCATAGCATTACACTAGCAGCAGTTCTCAGCTTCACACAGCTCACAACATCCTGCTAGAATTAAGAGGAAAATAAGACTGCAGTAAGTGACAACCTGCTTCCTATAAGAGAATGCTTACAAGCTTCAAAGTGAATCATGTTAAGAGGCATTTTTTTATTTCAAGTGATTTAACAGGAAATCTCATCATTTACAGTGCAGTTAAACACAAGCTCACCTCTTGTACCCACTTACAAGACTAGTTTGTGTGCAGATTTTTCACCATTCTAATGTTTTGCCACATGCCTGAGCAACTGTTGACTGTGCTGGAAGAGCTGGCACAGCAAACACAGAATGGCCAAGAAAGCCCAGCAAGGAACTGGGCCAATACATGCAAGTTTGTTGAGTGGTTTTTGAAAAAGGTGACTACATCCCAAAAGTAAACAGTAACATTACTTTTAAAAGACATTTATTAGCAAATTCTTTTTATTTTGAAGCCATAAATCACAATGTGATGACTCCTATTTTTTCCCCAAGGTAAACTAAAAAAGTCATCACGTTCTGAGCCAAGATTTCTTTATTAAAAAATAAGAATCCATGAGCAAAGAAATTCTTCTACTAGAATACCTCTCTTGACATTTCTGTTCATTTCTATAGTTCAGTGGAAAAATGTTACTAACTTCCTATGAGACACATATTGGAGAAAGTTACTTCCACGGAAATCTAATAAAGAAAAACTCCCCTTACTCTTATATTCTCTCCTGTTACTCTGCTAGAAGATGCACTGCACAAATGTACATTTTAACTAGATGCACTGTTAGATAATGTTTATCTCAGTATTAACAACTGGAAACCTTTATGGATATTCAAGACTCATGCTTTCTACACAGCACATGGAAAAACACAGGCTGGCATGCCTCCTGACAACTAAAACCAACATAATTTCAGAGAGAAATTTAGTACTGAGGTAATCTTGTATATAATAAGTGCAGTGTAACAGTCTGCCCTGAGGGTTTGAACCTCCTCTCCTGAAGAAGGCAACAATCATCAATAAAACAATATTCAAGAAAATGAGATTTAGAGAACAAATATCTATAAATTGAAGAGAACAGTGCATGAAAACACAAGGTCCAAACTCCGTTAAAAGGCATATATCTTAAAAAAAAAGCAAAAATATCTTGAACCTTTCACAAAAGACACTGAAATCTCTATTTTTCCTGATTGCAGAGTAGACAGCACTGAACTGTGTTATGGGAGCTGACCTACAGCCTCAATTTTCTTCAGCTCCACTAGGCAGAAAAACCTTAAAGGAAGACATCTTAACTTTATATTATACAGAAAATTCAACTTGTATGTTCCTTTCTCTATTCACCAGCATCTCTAACACGGTTGTGCTGTAGTTGAGAAGCATCTGTCGTGTATGTTAACACATTGAAGCAAGGCCCAGGCAATGTGCATTATTTGAGGTTAGGTTGAAAAAATCTAAAGAACAGAAACAGTGTTTTGGTGATAGGTATGAAATTTGCTTCAGAAAGTGGAAGAATTACCTGAAGTTTTAAGAAATGTATTTATTTTGAAAAACAGGTGAAAGAGGTATTCAAATCCATTTCACATTAAGACAATATTTACCTTGCTAACATCAGATGTACCTCCTCAACAGCTTGTGTTTTTGGAAAGCAGAGATGGACCTATTTTACAGAAGAAAAGCTTCATCCAAAGTTGGAGGATGAAAATAAATTGTGAATAACTTTAGTTGTCCTTTCACTTTTATGAAAATTAGAGCACAGACAAAGGGAAAGAATCAAGGGACGAAGAAGAAAGCAATTCTCCCTCTCCCTACAATCCTACTACTTAGTCACAGCATGTACTTCTGGTACACTGCTACTGGGCAGGACACATGACAGGAAGATGAAGTTACAGGAGATGATGGGAAGATGAAATAATAGATGAGATATTTGAGGGACAGAATAGACAAAATACAGAAAAGCAGGATAAATTTCTGCAGCTTATCAAACAAGTTTGTTGAAGACATCTCTGAAAGAGCTCTACTTTAAATCAGTACCAAACTACCTTTCCTGTGCAGAAAACCTTAAGAGATGCTTCCTGTTTTACATACATAAGCATGATACAACCACTTCTGAAACACTCAAAGACAACAGAAGGTTTCTAAGCTGCACTCCAGCAGATTATTTTCAAGCATTTTTAGACAAATACTGTTTTAATTACTTTTTGAAGAGCTAGCAATCAGTAACACAGACTATGTTTTCATAGCATAAAAAATGCACAAAGCCCCAAGCAGACTATTAACTAGCAACATAGATTTTTTCTTCAAAATGTATTGTCAAAATCTGCTGAATAACTGCTTCATTATGTGCTGGTGGAAAAAAAATACAGAAAGTATAAAACTAGAAAATCCTTTGGGGCTTTCAACTGATGGTTTGCTGGCAAAAGGAATGACCATTAAAGATGCCATTCATCCAGCTCACTTCTTCACTTTGATTTCATGTTAAGGACTAATAAATAACAATCCCTTTAAAGTTCTGTAATGGTTTGCTGAATAAATCTAGAAACAACAAGCTAAAAACAAACTGAGTAATAAAACAGAGATAAAATCAGATTCTCAACCATGCAAGTTGGAAGAAAAGATATTTGGTATCTCTGGAGCAGCATGCAATGACAGGAAGGGAGAGCTGATGAGATTATTAGCCCTTAGGGAGGAGAGAGAAGTAATTACCATCTGTGAAATGTTGAGGAATGATGTGGACATTAAGAAAATTGTAGTGTGCCATAAATATTTCAGTTTGAAGACTGGGGTTTCCCCAAAAGCTTTTGGACACAGAAACTGTCCTTCAAGCCTGACATAAACAGTAGCAATGACCCTCACAAAATGAATGTGCTCTCTACACTAATGTGGCCCAACTAATGTTAGATGAGAACAATACAAGGAAAACAGGTATTTCTAATTGCTGCAAACACTCAGCAACAGACTTGATGGTACAGACTAAGTCATAGAAGTTTCTTACAAGCAGCTAAGAATTTCAGAGCTTACCTGTTTCTGTGCTGATGTTCCCATATGTACCTGGCAAAACTTGACTGCCTGTTCAAGTGCTGCTTCTTCATCCACCTGAACACAGAATCACAACTAATGAAGTCACAATTACTTAGCTCATCTCTAAATCTAGTTAAACTCAGATTAAATGGGGAGGTAGAGCACAAAGTAAAGGGAAGAAGCAGCACTTCTATGGCAAAACAGTGATCTTAAGTTATTCAGAGGTGTATGTTCAAATACACACCACTCTCTTAATTCAAACCCCGCATAACTGGTATTGTAACTCAATTATTTCAGAAAACTAGATCAAAACATGGAGAGTCCTAGTTCCCCCCACTTTTGGAAGTAGTCTTGTCAAGCTGGGGAGATAAATATCTCCCAACTTCTGAACAGATATAGGGCTAATTTTATACTGCTTGGTTTGGCAATTATTGTTATTCTAGAATCACATCTGAGGTCACACAAAGAAATGATGATAAATTAATTACACATTACTTCACCTGTTTAATCAGCATGTACGTTTCAGACATGATCTTCTCAATTTTACCCAGGTCATAGGCCATAACTTTCTGACCTTGCTGCCATACGCGATAAGCATCAAGCAGGAGTGTTTTCCCAGACTCCACGTCCTCAAGTAATTTCCTCTTCCTGCTTGATCTCTGGACAGGTTCTTCTGTAGGTAATGCTTGAACTATTCCCTTAGTTGCCTGCTGATGTTTTGAGCTGATACTCAGCTCTTCCAAGGAGAGTTCAGCAGTTCGGCTCTCTGGAGCTCTCTCCTTTGAGTTCCTGCCAGGCTGAAGACGGTCTGGCTCACTGCGTTTACATGAAGAATCAATTTTTTCAGGATCATTGGAATATCCATCAAGATCCATAGGCTCAACTGAACCAGGCCTGGGGAGCTCCTTAATTTCCTTGTCATTCTTGTCCTCTTGTTCCAATATATCCATAGCATTGGGAATTTGTCCCTGGGTCACATCCTTTACTCCATTTTCAGTACTATGTACTACTCCGTCTGATAAAACTGGCTTCTTGGGAAGGACATCTTTCCCCTCTTCAGCACTAGTCTTATTAGAGACGTCTGTTGTCATCCTTCCTGAAGCAAGGTTAGAAGACTTGGAACTCTGATCTTCTGAAACCTTAATAAAAGAAGTCATTCTTCTCTGTTACTACTGAAATCAGAAGGCATTTGAGCACAGCTATGACTACCAGGAATACCGACACTGCACCTTTTACATTAGTGCATGTGCTGAAAAAAACCCATTTTTTTCTATGTTGATTCTTGTTGTTCCTCAGTATTAATTAATTCACGCCACAAGTCTTACAATTGAAGTATTTTAATCAGTGAAAACACCACAGAGAAATCAATAGCAAATACTGAGCCAAAGCTGCCAAATTCCACTCCTCCTCAACTTCAGTGTATGCTATGGGATTCAACTACATGAAATCCAAGGTTTTAATTGCACAAAATTTTCTTCTGAAGTACTGGCAGCTGCAGATCAACAGCAGATGTGGTGCTGTCAAGGTCTAGCAGATAAAAACAGCTAGGGATGCAATATCTACTTGCCTGGTTTTGTTTTGCAAGAGGACTCTTAGTTAATTCTCAAAAGGAAATTCCCTATAGACGTCACCTGAAAACGTAGCTCTTCTGATACCTCATGCAACCCCCATCATTTGTAATTCAAGGGACAATCAAATCAAACTTACTGCAACCCATTCTCAACAACTGCATTTGTTATTGGATTTCAAAATCAAAAACAACAGTGGAAAAAAGCTGTGTAGTTGCACAAAATGTATAGGAAATAAATTATAATAATGTAGGTCTTCAGCCTCAGAAGATCTAAAGAACAAATGAAGTGAAACTAGAAAAATGTCATTACTAAATCAATAACCATTAAACACACTGCTGTCTTACCTGGGTTAGGTCGTTGAGAGTGTCCTCCAACACTTTCACTGTAAGCACAAAGGCCTGTTGGGCCAGAACCTGGCGATCTGCATCACGCAAGTACTTCCTGTGCCACAGCGAGATAACAGAAATTAAGCTGCCTGCCTAAAGCTTTAAAGGACTTTAAAAGCAAAAACCAGGACATTCAAAAAACAAAACAAACAAAAAACCAACACGACTTTAAAACAAGTTAGAAGAAAGCAAACAAAACACTTACAGTTGCATATTGAAATATAACACTTTAGCTCTGTTTCCTTCAGACTTCTCCCCTCCCCACAAAACTCACACATGGCACACACAAAGCAAAAGAGAACACCATCTACACAGAGAGGGAAGGGGAGAAGTGAACAAAACCCAAAACACCAAAAACCCAAACCCAGAGCAGAACAGCCACTGGAATTACAGTTTTCTTGTCTCAAGCCTTCTGTGCCCTTCAAATATCAGCTTTTTATTCAAACCTTTTCTTGAAAAATAGTATTATTCACCCAAAGCTATCTTGGACTGTCAGGAGATTTTCATGTTCTGGATAAACAGTGCATGTGAGATTAAGGATACCAGGAAATCCTCTCTCATTGGTCATATCACTTGCCTTTGAATCTAGGTTTTTAAAGCTAAAATATGTGATATGTTAATAAATTTTTTCCTATTTAGTATTCTAAAAAAATAATGTATGTGTATAACTTACTAACTCTATAGCTTCATTTAATTTACTAGACCATTGTAACTTGCGACACAATGCTTTAGCTTGTATATTGTGACAGAATGCTTTAGTCCACTTCAAAGGAAAATGTTCCCAGCCATCAATTCCACCTAATTGAGTTTGATGGAAAACTACATTTTTTTCAGAATCTGTCAGTTTTAATGATGGCTAAAACCCACTTTGAAGGGTACTATTTAAGTAAAAAAGCCAACATTTTTAATATACATATTTTCTCTCCGTTGTATTACATTAAATTGGTAACTATATGGTTTGCTTTTCAGACAAAAGATTAAAAAACCCTCACTCCTCATTAGTTCCATAATAACTAAAGTTCAGCTTAAAATGCCCTGTTTTTAAAAATAGGGTTGTTACAGGCATATACCAGACACACCCAGAATATCTGTATGTTTAAGTTCCTGTAACAACTGCAGTTCACCATGGCTGGCACTGGCTGATTCAACATGTCAAATTACTTGTTTGTTAAAATCAGTCTAGACTTATAAATAACATAATATTTTTAGTACAGCTGTGGGCTTGGCTAGGACAGAATTTAAACCTTCTATGGTCCAGAACTTCTGATATGCTAAAAGTCAAAGTATTTTTGGCTTCAACTTTGCTAAACATGTGGTGACATATTCCCAGACATGCTATGATCGATGCAAATTCATATGCACTCACAGTCAAACACACATGAAGAAACCTTCAATGACTTCAACTTACTGCCATCAGTCATTCAGTTAAATTTCTTAGGTGTTTGCTAGAGACTAATTTTGACATTTCCCACTCAGCAAGCCACTAGAATTCTACCTCAATTGCTTCAGCATTTTCCTTAGCTGTTTATTTTGGTCCCCCATTGATATGAATCTGTATTTAACTCTCATATGGCTTCTTTTTTCTTAAATAAGTTGATGCAATTAAAATTAGATCACCCCTGAATAGCATAAGTTTTTTTAATAGCATCAGCTGCCAATAGGCACATAACCATTGTTTAGCCCATCAAGGCTTACAGGAAGGCAGGATGCTGGGGCCGTGACCTCCCCACTGGACACAACTCTTGAGCAAGAGGCCAGCAGAGAGGTGCAGAAGTCACGATGCTTCGTTCCACCAGTCAGCCCCTCCACATGACAGAAAACCTCTGCAAGTCTGTTAAGGCAGCTATATGGCTGCTCTGAGTTTCAAAAGAAATGCAGAGAAATTCTAGACTGTATTATGGAAACGTAATCCTGAGAAAAATTAACCATTATTTCAACAATAGCAAATCTGAAGACCTTTTACCTAAACTGAGAATGTCTTTAAATAAAATAGCTACAGAGTAAACAAAATATATTTGAAGATTTACAAAGGAAGAGATTAAAAGAAATACATCATACTTTCCCTGATCAGGGGTCCTCTGCAGCATAGATGACACTTTCAGCAAGGTGTTGTAATCCT